GAGAATTTCGTGGGAAGTGATTCGTTCTCACGTGTGTGCGACAATTCTCGCTGTTAAAAAAAGCTAGACAAACCTAGGAGACATTTTATATGTTATAAGAAGAAAATAGGCAACCAAATTCGTCTCGATCGGGACTTGCACCTAGGTGGTCTACATCCACACCCTCGATCAATTGAGCTAGCTCAGTTTCCTTTCCCACTATCCAAACATCACAAACTCTACTATGCAATCAGTCACGCGAAGCGCGGACGGTGCGGCCCCGCGGCCCATGAGCCCATTACCCTTGCCTTCGGCATTCAGCGCGAGACAAGGAGCTCACCAACGTTAGGGTTCGGGGGTTAGGAGATCTACTCACCGGTGGCTGTAGCAGGGGGTTTATGGGACGACAGTCGTGGCATGGCGGTGGTGGCAGTCGAGATGGCGACAGGGCGAGACAGCGGGGGTATCACCCGTCGGGGTAGTGGGTGACAACAGTTGGGCGGGGCTGGCGGCAAGAGCGTTGCAATGAAGTGGTTGCCGGCGCCCCTATCATTAGGGGAGGCCGGGATCGAGAGGCGACGGCGGGAGGTGGGTGGCATGGTGAGGTAGCTAGTGAGGGCTGTCGGGCGCTCGGTGGTGGAAACGCAAGGGAGAGGGCGCAAAGGAGGGTTGCGTGAGCGAGTTCAATGAGGGTGGGGGTGGCGCGGGCGAGGAGGAAGAAGGGTTGCGTGGTTCCCGGTCACATGGCCCGTCACACAATAACTTCATCCTTCAAACATTTTTTTAACCTTTGGATGGATACATATAAGAGCACCCCATGGCTTTGGCCAACAAAGAAAAACTCGGACTGCGGGGGGATAGCATGCGCCCCCGAGCATTTCGCATTAAGGTAGAGGACTCCTTGCTCAGTCCGAGAAAACCCTCGAACCTCGTACCCCGCCCGCACATAGGGTCCCGTTGCCCTGTGAGTGAGCCGGTGCCACAAACATATGTTTTGTGTAACACGGGGCATACGAGTTTTTTTTTTACCTCCGACATTGCAATTCGCCCACCGGGGATCAAACCCAACAAGGAGCAAAGACGAGAATACGTACCCTGTCAAAGCCTGCCTAACCTAAGGCTCAGAACTATCATCACAGTCAAAATTCAAAATTCTGTCTAATTTGTTTATTACATATATATTCTAGATAAAGCGATTTATTTATTGTTTACATATTTTCAACACGTTAGCACGTCGTCGTCTACCAACACGTCGAGCTCCATCCGGCAAAAAAAAAAAAAGGTCCTGAGGTCATGTCTGGTAATAAAAAGAAAGAATATTTGCACAAGGGGGAATCATATATTCATGGGTGAGCAAGCTCCCTGGTCCAGTTGCTTATCCGGCGACAGAAGGCATCAACCTAACCTTCCCTTTTTCTATTGCTTCGATCAGTGTCGTCGCTTTGTTTTGTCGTTCACAATAATTTACCCAAGACGATTATGAATGCGGATGCCGGATGGAGTTGCTTCGTTCCACGGGCAAAGCTCTCTCGCAGTGCACAAGTGACAAGTCAGAGGCACCCGCACTCCAAAGGCATTGACGATGCGCTACGCCCCGGGGCCCTGCCGCGGCCGGCCTCCGTAAGCAACCCCGACCGGCCGCCCGCCGCCCGGCCGGCCAACAGCTCAGCTAGGCGCCTGCCTGCCATCGATGTGTGCTTGCTGCATGCAATGGCGCGTGCATCAGCAGATGAGCTGCTACCACACAAGTCACAAGCTAGTAGTATACGCAGACGACGAATCTGATGAAGAGAAGTGTATTGATCAGGCTCTAGTCTTTTTCTTTTCAGTAATGGCGATGACGCACTGTTCACAATCACACCTGCACTGCACATGATCGATCGTCCGAGGGTTTCTGGGTTCCTACGTCAATTGGTATTGGCTAGCTTGTGTTTGTGGAAATGTAGGACGTCCTAGCTAATAACCTCTCCCTCTCTCTATATCTCTCTTTCTCTCTCTTCATCTCCCTCTCCCTCTCCCCCTATGATTGATCTTTACCTACTGCACATACCTTTTCTTTTTCATGCCTGCTTGCTTGCTTGTTCTCGGCAGCCATCTCTGGGCTCTTGCTGTTTGTTTAAGGAATAGACATGGCATCAAGTGAGTTGACAGCCTTGTTGGACTGGACTTTGTGAGGCAGATGCTCTCCTAATCCAAACGTCCCCCTGGCCCCTACTGCAACTAGGCCTGGAAAGGGCCGGGGCGCCCTCAGGACATGCTCAGTGTTTCATGGAATTCGGTCGATCGAGCAGGTCGATGTCGACGGCAAGCGACAGCAAATCGACGAAAAAGAGGCGATGGGATGGCCGGGAGAGTATTTGGCCTTCGGGCGGGGTTCCTACCTCTGGTCCGTCCGGCATTGCCGCCTGCCTCCTGATGCCAACCCTGTCATGTGTTTGCGTTAATTCCTGTCAACACTTGCAATTATTGCGCTGCATGTGGTGTGGACATATGGTGCTGCTTCTTTGGCTTGGAGAGTTGAAGGGGACCTGTTGCTTGGGCAGGCTAACTTTGGCCTAACCCTGTCCCCATTACGAATACCATCAAGTGTAAACCTGCAGGCATGCATGTCACTAATAGTTTCTGCTCTTCGATCGTCAAGTTTTCTTTTTTCTTTTTAAAAAAAAGAGAAAGTGAAATATATAGATGTACACCTGAAAACATGACGTGTAGAGCACTGCACTTGTGCTGGAAGAATTACAAGTTCAGAAGCTACAGAACCTTGTACTTGGTAGCTAGTAAGTGGTAGAACTGGCGAGCAAGTTACCCTTGCAAGGCTAAACAAATGGTGCTTGTGTGTTCACCAAAAGGTCAGCAGTCACTTGGCAGGCAAAGCAACTCCGGCAATGCAGGTTTCGTCATGCTGGGGTTATTCCGATCCAAGCAAGTGTTTGTCACAGTTAACGGCGACAGGGCGACCAGCGAGTGAAGTTACCTTGTTGGCCTGGCTTGCATGCTTTCATTTGCGCGTACGTAGTTGCCGCTGGGTGTGGATGATCCATGCCTTGGCGTCATCTTTTTCACTTTTTCACGGAAGAAATACGCCTCCACGACGTCATTCTTCGTTTCCTGCGCAGTAATCTTCCTACACCTGGCTTGCAGATCTTTTCCCAGCAAGAACTGTTCCGTTATTCCGTGTAGCTTTTGTGCTCTGCTGATGCCGGCGATTTGAGAGCAGAGAAAACAGTTTAGTACTCCAAAGTCTGAACAAACAAGTCGGTTGAAACAAGTCAGTTTAATTCTTTCTTGCAGGTTATTTTCAGGGGAGTACATGTTATGCGTAGCCACGCAAAGAATGTTTCATTTCTTCAGAACCAGAAGCAAAGAAAATTCAAAAGCGTTGTATCATAAGGAGTGAAAAGTCAGATGCTGAGAACTTCATATGCGTTAAAAATGCAATTCTGACAGCGCCTTTGAGAAATATCTGACCACAAGTGGACCGAAGAGCCCCCAAGATTCAGGCACCTGTGGGTGGTGCTCGGTTGCTTGGAAGGAGGAGGCAGGAAGCAACCAGCGTGCTGCTGCTAGGCGTCAAGCAAGGCTAGTTCAGGAAGGTTGCAAGAAAGCGCCATGGTGTTGCTGCTGCATGTTTTTATTATAATCGGACGCAATGAAAAAGCGCTAATGATTCCTTGCAATCCAGATTAAGGAGTATATAAAGTGGCCTGATAGTCATACATAACGTACAACACATGTCATATATGGATATGTATGATCAGCTGAGCTGAGTTCTTCTCTGGGGAAAAAAACAGCTGGCGCTGTTGATTAACATGGAAGATATCCATATGCTAAATCTCTTAATATATTAAAAAAAGGTGTGTTGGATAGCATTTCCAACTACCAAAACGTTGGTTCAACTCTTCTTTCTTTTAGCAATCATTTACAAAAGAAAGGCCATATCAATCAGGCTTCCATCCGATTTGCCATGTCAGGGTCCATGTTGTCCATGCTATGCCGATTCATTTTGCAGCAACTACTTGCAACACAAGCACAAACCAGCTGAAAGCGCATCTGAAGAACACTATTTTTGTATAAAAAATGAAGAAGAGATTTATCCTTTCCAGGAAAGGAGAGCATATGTTTTTCTAGATAAAGGAAAGTAATTCAGCCTCTGTATTCGTGCATGATTGTATATAGCATTGAGACTACACAAAATGAATGTTGAGAAGAGTGACATGGGAAAGAAAGCTAACGCTAGTTTAAGCTCCAATTCTGTTGCTAAACCTCCAATCAAAAAAAAAAATCTCCATACAGTAACTTTCAAATTTCTGCATCCCATCTTCAAAACATCTTTCTCTACCTCTTTAAACTCTTTAAAGAACAGCAACTAACTTCTAATCCAATACATCCCCTGAAAATAACCTGCATGAAAGAATTAGTTGTAGTTCTATTGAAAAGCACATCATTTCTACTCAACCAAATTGCCCAACAGAACAGCTGCACCAACTAAAATTTGGAATCTAGGCTTAGATAAAGGAAAGCGAGCATATGAAGGAAGACAAAAAAACGGGTTCATTTGTATCTGAATATAAGAAAGAGCTTATATTGTTTGAGTTAAATTAGCACTCCTCCTTTTCCTCCTTTTTTTTGTTTTCCCTCTCTAGTTTGCAATTATCATTACTCCATCTTGAAATTGACAGCAATGGAGAAGAGATCTAGAGAAGATTTGTTTCGGACCGGGACGGGATCATGTCAAATCGGAGAAGGAATCATACTATTTAAGCAAAAGAAGTAGATGCAGGATGGAGTCCGCTCCACGCCACATCGGATCCTATAAATTCCCCGCCTTTTCTTCTCCACTCCACTCATCACAAATCTCTCCTCCTCCTCTTCTCTCTCTCTCTCTCGCTCGCTCCCTCTCCAAGCTCCAGCTAGACTGTCCTGCTCTGCTTCGGTGCTCGCTACTGTGCACAGCCAGCCAGCTGCAGCAGAGCAGAGTCCGGCTCGGCGGTGAGCCCTGAGCAGAGAGGCTCTGCAGTGCAATGGAGAGGCCTGCGCAGGCGCCCACGCAGCTGCCGCCGGGGTTCCGGTTTCACCCCACCGACGAGGAGCTGGTAGTGCTGTACCTCCGCCGGCAGGCCCTGGCTCGCCCGCTGCCGGCCGCCGTCATCCCCGTCGTCCACGACGTCGCCAGGCTCGATCCATGGGACCTCCCTGGTGCGTGCGCACGCATGCTCTCTTCATTTGAGCCGCCTCGCTTGCAGGCTGCAGCTGCGGCACAAGCACAACCGCGGACACCTTCAGATTAGCGTAAATGGAAGCTTATCGATACAGAGTTTTCCTGATTATTTTGTGTAACTAAACTACGCAGGGGCAAGCGCAGGGGAGGGCTACTTCTTTAGCCTGCGGCGAGCGCCGGCGACCGGCCGTGGCAGCCGCAGGAGGAGAGCTGGGAGCGGGTACTGGAAGGCCACGGGGAAGGAGAAGCCTGTGTTCCTGCAGTGCGGCGGCGGCGGCGTAGGCGGCAAGAGGCAGCTGCTCGTGGGCGTCAAGACGGCGCTCGCCTTCCACCGCAGTGAGCCGCCGGCGCCGTCGTCGCGAACCGGCTGGATCATGCACGAGTACCGGCTCGCCGTGCCCCGTGGCGTGGCCGAGCAGAGGAAGAAGAATGTGAGCCAGGTAAGAATTCCCACCATAATTTCAACCTTTGGGCTTAACGGTAATTCTTGCAGTCTTTGCTGTGAAATTTTACAGAGTCGCTGACTTCATTCTCTGCCGCAAGCACATACCACTCCCAATTTACTGCTGTAACTATAACTATGGTTGCATCAAAGTCACCCTACCATCAAATCAAAATGTTGTGAAAAATGCTTAAGCTCATTTAGCTACGCTAACAGCAAAGTACCAACGTATAGGACGTGCTAAAATAGTAAAGCATACTTCTTCGTGTTCAAAATATATGATGATGTCTAGCAAAGCTAATTAATAATCAATTTTAAACTAATTTGCTTGTCCTAAACGCGATATATGAAAATGGAGGTAGTATTGAAAATGGCTCATTTCAAAAGAAATGAAAGATCGACGTCAGTTAATAGCATTTGTACACTGAGTCTAAAACAAGAAAATTCCCAGTCTTCGAGCAACTTGAGACGACTGTGACAGCTTAACATCGACTACTTTTCAGCTTGTTTTTTTAGCCGGAACAATATTTTTCTCTCATAACAAATCAGCCGAAATAATATTTTTCTCTCGTAACAAATCAGGCGAAACAATGTTTCGGCTTGTTTTTTCAGCGAAACGAACGAGCCCTAAATGGAATACAACACACTGCAATAATGTTTCAGATCACGCAGATATGAGAATCTATTCTCCGTTCGAAGTAACTTGGTCCACTTTGCAACCTCGATCGCGATACTTTGCCTTATATGTAGCTTACATTTGCCCCCGAACTGCAGGGTTGCGTTGCTGAGCCGGGACCGGGAGAGTGGGTCGTGTGCCGGGTCTTCCTGAAGAACAACAGGCCAGGAAGCAGCAGGCCGAACCGGGACGCCAACAGCAAAACTCTGGGACACCGCGCCTCCGCTGCGCATGTGGGAGGACAGCAGCCGTTGCTGTTCTCGGCGCCGCAGTCGTCGTCCTCAAGCTGTGTCACCGGCGTTACCGATTTGTCAGACGAAGACGACCAAGTCAGCAGCGGCGGCATAACCAGAGATGCCCCAGCTGCCCCTCAAAGAGAGGCCTACTAGGGATTTTAAGTGTTTTCCCCTATCTCTTGCGTCTTGCCCCGTTGGCCGTTGCCTGTACTTTTCCTGGTACCGTGTAATGATGCGTTAAGCATCAGATAATCAGGTTTAAGGCAAGTCCAGCGCAAGAATGGTCCCGAAAATACCATGTAAAACAGATTTGGCAACCTGAGTTTGAATCAGGAGCAATAGTTGCTACTCCCACTGTGCATTCTATGAATTTTAGGATAAATTAAGAGAGAACATAAAAAACGCATGTACCCTCATTCTATTTCCTAACTAGACGTTATCATCAACGTGATTGATGGTGATTGATTGATAAATGAAAAATATTTAATACAAAATTGGTTTTTATCCTCTAGAATGCATTATATTTGAGGATAAATTTTGAATGCTAAAATACACTGTATTACAGAGACGGAGGGAATACGGTTCATCTATGGAGTTGCATGCACTTTGATTTGATGATAGAAAATGGGCGCTGCGACGGCCCAATAGTGTGTAAAATCTAAAATGGCAGTTAATTTGAGGTGGATGGAAAAATCTTTGTGTACTCCCTCCGTTCATAAAAGAATACAATCGTGGAAACTGTATCAGTCAAATTAGTTCACGTTTGACGAAGTTTATAGTAAATAATATTAGTATTTATGTCTCCAAATAAATTAATTATGAAGATATATTCTATAATTAATCTAATGATGCTTATTTTGTATTATAAATGTTATTATTTTTATTTATATAAATTTAGTCAAAGTTTAAATTGTTTAACTTCGCGAAAACGAGAATTGTATTTTACTTATGGAGGGGATAGAATCGTAGTGATCGCTGCCCTACCACGAATATTTCATAATACTTACTCTATCCTAATATACAAGACGTAATTATTATTTGCTCGAGTAGTCGAGTCCTATAAACGCAAGGCGTGGTATCTTTCTCTCTTGCACGTGCATCATGCAGCAGCGGTACTAGCATTTACGTTCTTTGGTCTTTATAAAAGCAGGAGGTACGTTTTGTATACTAGGACGAAGCGAGTAGCCATCGGCTTGTACGAGGACATCTCAATGGAACTAGAAATGGCTGAAGTGATGCTGGGAAAGAGTACAAATACAAAAAAAAGCTTGTACCACCCATGGCATACATAGACGAGTCAGGGAGAGCAGAGACCGTGAGCTTTTTGGGAAGCAAGCGAGCCTAGCAAGTTGCTTTTTAGCAACATCTCTCCTACAGGTTGGACGTGACGTGATGTCAGCTGGCGACGTCACCACCCTGTTGGGGACGCTCTTATCTTAGGCCCTGTTTGGTTTTCATAACTCAGGTGACTTATTAAGTCAGGTGACTGAAAACCAGTGACTTATAAGCCATGTCTGTTTGGTTGTAGATGACTTATAAGCTCATTAAAAGTATGGGCCCCACGCGAAAAAGAGTGACTTATAAGTTTTAAGCAGGGGTGAACCAACTTAAAACTTATAAGCAGGGGTGACTTATAAATTGGTGGTGTTTGACAAAATAAGTCACTTATTTCATTTTTTAACTTATAAGTAGGTGACTTATTTGGAACCAACAGACCCTTACTAAAGTGATTTCTCCTAGCTTCTCTTCACAAAACCAATATAAAGCATTACAAAACTGACACTGGAGCTGTCCAAATGTTTTCTAAAACAGTTTTAACTTCATCAGCAAAGTTGCTCTACATAACAAACTAGAGCCGGAGCCCTAAAACGGGCCCTGAAAAACAAGTTACCCATATTATTTACGTGGGCCAACTTGCGAGTGGTTCTGCTAGGCCGAGAAGGCCTTCTGCATTTCTGCCTGCTGGGCCAACGTCGTGCACACGCTCTCTGCAAAATCACACCACGCGGGGGCTTTACTTGCAAAAAAGCGCGCAAATAAAAATCTCACGCAGGATCCACGCTTTCCTTCGCCTCCTCCATCCCGGTCGCGCGGCCAAGGCCAACGAACCAATCCCCCTACGGCCCACCTTCCTCCTCCCTGCTTGCCATCCTCCTCCCATCCCGGCAGGGCGTCTCCTCCTCCCTCCTTTCCATCCCGCTTCTATCGCCGCCTCCATCTCCAGGCCGCGTCGAATTCCTCCATCCACCGCGCCGGTCCGGTTGCTGAGGAGGAGGAGGAGGCTGGGCGCCGCGAGGAGGCAGCTTGGATCCGGTCCCGTGAGTGCCGAACCAGGCTTTACCTCCGTGGGTTTCTGATCGCCTCGCGAGGTTCGATCTGTAACGGTGTTATTGTTTTTTTTTGGTCTCTGTGTGTGCAGATGCTGGGACAGGTGTTACGAAGGCTCCGCCCAGCGGCGGCGGCTGAGGTGGCGAGGGGCTACTCCGCTGCGGCGAAGGAGGTGAGGCGCCGCTTGACCGAAACCTACCTTTTCATTTAACCGTGGAGGCGAGGAGGTTGTGTGTTGGTATTAGACGTCATGTAAATCGTAATTGTGTTGTCTTGTTTGTCAACCGGCGGCTAGAATGTAAACTAGGGGTAGGTGGTTTAAGCGGTGGAGACGTCTGGTTGCGAGTTTAGTTATTGCAGTAGTTGATATGATCCCACGAAGAGCAAATTGTTCATAGTTCGGTGATGGGTTGGTCGCTTTGTTATGGCAGTGGTTTGTGGGCCAAGGGAATGATTTAATGCTTTAATTTATGGCTTACATCTTAGTGGGATACACTTTGGTTTTGTGCGGTGCATGTTAGAGAAATGCTACTAGAATATATTCGTTGAAGTATCTTTTTGTGTGAGATTCCTGACAAGCTATATGTGGGAAAAACCAAGTCCTGGTTTTGCAATTCTTTGTGCCTTCTATATAGATGAAGCACGCTTGGTAGTTTCTAAATGTTAAAATTGTACATGGAGTTCATTTCATGTGTGATCAAATCATTGTATTTAGCTACATATTGTTATGCATTTTATGCTTTGTTTATTATTTCTTTTTACCTTATTTCGTCCCTATGCCAGCACCCACTAGTGTTTTATTCCCATACTGTAGTTTCTACATCTTTATGTGGCAAGTCATATACATTATTATTCTACATGTTCAGATGACTGTCCGTGATGCGTTGAACTCTGCACTGGATGAAGAGATGTCTGCTGATCCTTCCGTTTTTCTGATGGGAGAAGAGGTATTGCCTGGAAAAATTCTTGCTGCTGGTCTTTTTCCCCCTGTTCAGTGTCTTTTTTATAATTCATATTCCTACTCATTTGTGTAGGTTGGAGAGTATCAAGGTGCATACAAGGTTTGCAAAATTTCTAAGGATTAATGCTTTTGCTTTTGCTTTTATCTATCGGTAACGTAACACTGAAATCTTAAATCCTACCATTTTATAATATTCATTGGTGTCTTGTTGCAGATTTCTAAGGGCTTGCTTGACAAGTATGGTCCTGATAGGGTTCTTGACACACCTATCACAGAGGTGCACTATTAAAATCCTGAAACCATTGCTTTCAGGCTGCGTAAACATGATCACACAGGCACACACTTACTGCTTTCTATTTGTACCCTCAGGCTGGCTTTACTGGCATTGGTGTTGGTGCAGCTTATCATGGTCTTCGGCCTATTATAGAATTTATGACATTTAATTTCTCGATGCAGGTCAGATTTTGATATTGGTAACGAGTTAAAAGATTTTTACTTGCTTGTCTTAAAGTATACCCTGGACGTCTGAGTGTACTATAATGGTCCGTGGTTGCTATGCGATACATCTTTAGAATTCTTAGTTATCTAAATTTTGTGTAGTCTTTGCAATACACATTTGCAAATTTGCCACTGATTTTAGTCTTCACAAGAATGCCACTCAAATGATAGTTCTGGTGGCATTTTTGCCATTTTCTAGAGGTAAGCTTGCAGTAATAGTTCAAAGTAGTTCCAAATTTGCAAGTGCTCCCTAGCAAAACCATACTTTTTCTCCCACATTGATTGCAAATGATCCATAATTATCGAGAAATTTTATCAATTGCTGCTTGCATCAATTCCTCATGCTTATTTTCCCTGAATTACTGTCAAAAGGCAACCGTTTATGCATGCTTAATTCATGTGACTGAGACAAGTAGTAGTTTCTATACTGATTTTTTCCCATTAATGTCATCCACCGAATTCAATGTTCCATATTTTGTGAAAAAACCTGAGTAATCTATACTGCATCTTCAGGCTATTGATCATATCATCAATTCAGCTGCCAAGTCAAACTATATGTCAGCTGGTCAGATATCTGTTCCTATTGTTTTTAGAGGACCAAATGGAGCTGCTGCTGGAGTTGGTGCTCAACATTCACAGGTTTGTCAGACGGAATTGCTCATGTAGTTATGTACTTATGTGTCTGATTATCATCCTTCTACTTCCTAATTTTTCTATATAAGCCTTTTATCCCCTTTCTTAATGCAATGATACGCAGCTCTCCTGCGTATTCCAGATTTTTTTTCATTTTTATGTTATTGCCATCCTTTTCTGTGCTTGTTTGTATTAGTTATACTTGCCACTGTCAAGATGTCAATCCTTTGATGCTCTGTGAACCTGTTTGCAGCACTTCTATAAATTAACGGTGTAAAATAAACTGATAAGTTTTGAGCGCAATTACAAAATATTGCACAGCGAGTTACGTATATTGTAGGGAGCTGAGCAGTAGTTTTGTAATTGTTTCATTATGATCATGAGCTTTAATGATTACATAGTACCTGTTTTCATACATCTTTTTGCTAGCACCTTGATTATGAGATTATAACTGTACTATCATGAATTTACTAACTCAATTGTATGCAGTGTTATGCAGCTTGGTATGCACATGTTCCAGGACTTAAGGTTCTCACACCATACTCTTCAGAAGATACCCGAGGCTTGCTCAAAGCTGCTATTAGGGATCCTGATCCTGTTATTTTCCTGGAAAATGAATTGCTGTATGTCAGTCTGATCTTGTTGAATCATTTTGCTAGCTACCTATCATTTTGCTGAGATGCTATCGTACCATTTGCAGTTATGGAGAATCTTTCCCAGTTTCTGCTGAAGT